CGCCGCCGACGCCGCCGCCGCCGCCGCCGCCGCCGCCGCCGCCACCGCCACCGCCGCTACCGCCGTCGCTGCCCCTCCAACGCGGATCCGACACGGCGAGGAATCCCTTCCAGAGAGACGAGAAACCCCTTCTTCTCTCGTCTCCTACGGCTTCTACGGAGGAGAGTCGTCTTAAGATAAAAACACGGGCGATCGGGTTTTGCAGTTAACCCACTCACCCTCGACTCACATCCCCTCTACGCGCGCGTCCTTCCTGTCCCCTCGTCATCCTACCCCCGATCCGTCGATGTATCCCCCTCCGTGCCACCGGACTCTTACAAGCAAGCAACCTCGAGTCACCCCAACCCTTTTCCTCCATCTACCCCGTCCTCCTCGCCACGCCGCTACGCGCGGATCTCTACGACTCGATGAAACTTTCGATTCTTTCGGGAGCAACCTTCACAACCCCCACCGCCCCCCCATTTTTTCCTCTCTTCGCCGACCGATACATCGCGTGTCGACCCGTTCGACGTTATCATACCGTTCACCCTCGGAGCACACATATTCCCCACCCCTTGGCGTTCCCACTGCGAGAGACAACAACAGGACCGACCTCGTGGTTTTTTACAGGACGGAGGGGGAAAGGTGGCCGTATATATTGTTGTCATTTTTTTGAACGGTTTCAGGCGCATCGATCTTCGACGACTATACGTCCCGTCCTGGTCACGCGCCGATGTGACGCACCGACAAGACTTCACTTTCGCCGCGTTTCTTTCCGGGATAAACTTCACAATCCCAGGCATTACTTTCATCGATACTCTCGTAGTTTCCGTCGACGGACAGAATTCTCGTTTGCGAGGTGATAGTTGCAACGACGAGTTGTGTGTTCGTGTAAAACAAGAATAAAAACCCGTTACATTTCTTAGAACGAATGTTGTATGTGAGCACATTTTCGGCTGCCTGTTCAACTTTTTTATATATTTTCGTGAAAAATTAATGTCACACTCCTCAAAGCTTATCGGAATAACAATTCTATTCTGAAAAAATACAAGCGAATCTTCCAAATTTATGCAAAAATAAATGGTGCAAATTGGACCTGTTACATTATGAGATGAAGATATGAAGAATTCTGCGAAAGATGACATATTACGACGATTTATTGCAATGTAAAAATTAAATGGATGATAAATTGATATTTAGAAAATGTAAGGAACATAAAACATTGTCTACCATCATCAATCTACATACAGTTTTTCAATGATTATATTTCATCTAAATGACTTTCTTACAAAATTGTTGGAGAATCTGATTATGACATTCTGTGCAAATCTTTATTCCTAGATATGAAATCTATAAACAGTTCATAAAATATAATGATAAAAGATAATACCTTGGCAAATTCGCTTGTAAACTCTCAAAGTTCGTCATTGTACTATATTATGAAAAAGATATTGCATCGAATGCTACGTCAATCGTTTATAAATATATAACTGCAATTTTATAAATGTGATTCAAATAAAAATTTTGAAAGTATGACCCAAATAAAAAAATTGCGTATAAAGTTATAATCTTTAGTGTCATCATTTTAACGTACATATCAAGAAAACAAAAAGTTTTCCTAATATTTGCATTTTGCATTGATAATAAAATTTTAATAAGGCAAAAATTCACATTAAAAATTCGCATTGAAGTTGCATTAAAATAACAATAATTTAGCTGTAAATAACATTTTATTTTGAAACAAATTTATCCAATAGGATATTACAAAGCAATTTAATTGTGCAATTCAAAACGGCGCTACAAAATAGCAAAAATTAAAAATAATATCTGAACAAAACTTTCTTTTGGATTATCATCGCGAAATCATCACAGACACTTTAAAAACTGAGAATTACAGTTCAAGGATATATGTTTAAATATATACAAGAATGAGCTTCGATTGACGATGCATCGTCACAAAAGTTCTTTTACGCTTAGCCCTTTGACCATGAGATTGTATCAATTTAAATACCTGAGAGAATGAGAGTATGATCGGTTATATTTACCCGAAGTTTAAAAAAACTAATATCAATTTAAACTTGACGAAAGTTGTTGTAGCTTTTAGGTGACGCACATCCCTAAAGTGAAGCGCGTCCATAATCAAAAGGAATTAAAAATCGAGATATCCTCTGATTGAAAACAATGACGAAGCTCGAGTTTGGAAATATTAAACTATCCTTCGTCCAAATATGTGAACACCGAATATCCCGACAAGTCGACATTCTAGAAGTCTACTGGCAAGGGCAGACTTCGTTTGTTAACTAATATAGTCTTTCCGGCAATAAAAAAGAAAGAGGGGGGAGAGGAGGTGAGCGATATAAAAAGAGAATGAACCTCGGGGCCGCGGATGTATCGAAACAAATTTTTATGCGGGTCAAGCTTTTCTGCGCTTTTCGAAGCCGCCACTCCCACCCCTAGCTGTACACCCCACTACCCGATCGACACTCATTTATACTTTTACCACCACCCTACCGCCCCCACCGCGGGGATTGTTTATGACACGATTCGTTTGATTATTAGCTGTTTATACGCGACCATCGATCGAACCGCTAACTGCACGCGGCATTCCGACAGCAAAACAGTTCCGCCGCGCGCTTTACTGAAACCCTTTCGCTCCAAAACCGGATTTTTTTTTTTTAAACGTGTACCTAAACCGACAAAACTGGTTCTACTGGACTTTCCGTTGGACTGCTTGCTCTTCCTCGTGATCTTAGTTCAATACAGGCGACTGATCGAACGACATTTTAACAGTGCCCCATGGATACGTCACCGTTCGTCGCTACAATTAATCTTAAGTGTACGATGAAAATAAGATTTTTGAAATTTTTTTTGGATGTAGGAAATATAGTGTTATTTGCGTACGAATCTCGGCATGGTAATCGGCAAAAAGGCAGAGGGTGCTTGAAACGTCAAATTGCAACACCGATCGTGAATTTCTTTTCTCACGTTTCCCAAGTTTTACTCCATCGATCCTCCTCTCTCTTTTTCTATCGTAATATCGATGGATGTAATTCATAATTGTAACGAAAATTGACATGATAATGTATTTTTTTGTATAATCAGATAATAAGATTACTTGGCGTAATGGAAAGCGATGCGGGTTTTCAGTCTTAATTGGATTTAACGCGCGAAACGTACTTTCAGGATATTAATTACGACGGTTGGTATTCTCACCCTAATTGACTGGTTATTTATACGTTTCAGCTTATGTCGCGTTTCGGAATAGCGTGGGTGAAGGTTTACGTTATTGATTTAAAAACGAATCTGCGTTACGTCTGTCTCGACCTGACGTGGGTTAAACGGCTGCCGTCGGAACAATGTTTGACATCTCCGCTTTTCCGGTTGACAGGAGCTGACTGTCAGCTACTGTCACGAAGATGCTTCCGATAAGTTTTGCCGAATTATCACACGTTTCTCTTTTATTTATCAATACTTTTTTTTATTTATCATTACTTTCGCGTTACACTGCGATTGTACGAGGTATTTCGTAAGAACGCGATTCATTCCCGGTTATCACACCATAGCTATCACCAGACTTATTTAAAAATGATTTTTTTCTCAGACGCATATCTATCATCACTCACTTGTTATCTTATTTCCTATAAAGTTACATACTAAGATCAATTTTTTATTTATTTACATTTATTTTCATATTTTTAGCAACACTATTCGAACTGTAGAAGTTTGAGTTAATTTTATGGAATTCCGACCTGGCACAACGGAAATACTTATTATTCGTATATTATTCATTTCCGCCGTTGCAATTCAGATATATTTTCAATAATTTTTACAATGACTCGAGATATTACATTTTCCCATTTCATATTTCTTTTTTTTAAATAATTCTTGTCAATATGACATCGCACAATACATTGTTACTAAAGCGATACGAGTTTTAGTAGCAATTTAACATCCTGGATGTGATTACACGATTAAGACGTTCGATATCTAAACATTATCGCGTCCGTTTCGAAAAAGAACTGCGCAATTGTTTCTTGTTAGCGCGTTTATACATCGCACGATGTTACTTTTTTTTTTCTACTAACCGCACGATCGTTCTTGTTTTATTAAGGGCATCAGGCATCAGGATCTTATCGCGTCTAACATCACGGAGTTTCAAATCTCTTGCACGATCTTCTTATCACTGTCGCGATGTCGTCGTTTTTTTTTTTTTTGTTACGCGAATCCGTTTATGGTTATTCCTTGACGTGAGCACATTTAGCACCAACACAATCACACCTGTCATCGTTGATATCACCACACGATCGAGAACGTTTCCTTCGCGCGGAGCGCAAGTAATCTAAGGGAAAACGGCCCGCGTAGTCAGACGTCGGTGAGAAAAATCTGCGAGTGTTTCACTAAGGGAAAAACACGCCGTTTCTTTCGAGCGCGCAACACGTTTCTCTACTGAAAGTGCTGTCGCGGCACTTGCCTAATTCCGCGTAAAACTGCATAAATTCCACTTCCGAAAGGAAGCGTTTTTTTGTTCTCCGTCACTTGAAACGCGGGAAAAAACCGTAGACGCATTTCCATTTATCTTCACGCGATGAATAATACTCGTTTTCCGCCCTTTTCTCTCAAAATCACGAAATAAGGTGTACTATAAAAAAGAAGAAAAAAAAAAAAAAGAAAATATTCTTTACCGAGACGGCGAGGATTTTCACACCCGTTGTTTTCTTCTCGATTCGTGCCAAAGTTTCAATTTCGAAGAAATAATTCGGGCGATTGAGATGAATAACAAATGATTGACAGCTCGAGAAATCGGCATTTATTTCGCGTGCGAGTGAAGAAAGCGGATCGTTGTGCGAGTTCACGGAACAAAAAAGAACTGAAAAATGAACGAGGAAGGGTTATGACGTCTCTCCCTTCGCTCGTGGATTATCGGTACTCACCCGTTTGTCGCGCCGATCCCAAGGAGACAAGTTCGGAGAGGACGAGGACGGGTAAGAAGACGTTCACAACATCGGCGCACTCGAAGCCGGCAGGTTGACGACGATCCTCTTCGATCCTTTCTCACTGCAAGCTCTCGCCCGAGCTTTTAACATCACAGTATCTACAACGTCGAGTCGCGGTCGTTAAAAGGTCCTCCCCCGGTACCTTTCCTTCCCTTTTTCTTTTCCTTCGGTCGCGAAACTTGCTTTCCCCGTTTTTACTTAATAAAAAAAAGTGAAGAACCGAACTTTTTTCTCTTTTTTTTTTTTTTCTAAATATACGTTAAACAAATCGTTCCTTTTCTCGTCCTTTTCCTCGGCTCGCGCGCGCGGCCCCGGTGCCTCTTTTTGCGTGGGGGCTCCCGGCCTGACGAACGTGGCCGATCAGCGCGCGGGTAGAGAGAGCTTGGGCTGCGTGGCGGAGCGCGAACTTTCGGGCTTGCGGGCGCACTGGCGCACACGGCACACTCGCACCGCGTAGGCGGAGAGAGGAGAAGCTCCGGCGGATGCTGTAAGCCGAAGGGAGAGAACTACGCGCGCCGGCCAGCGGCGGAGCAAGCCGGTGGCCCCTCTTGGCCATTTTGCCCCGTACGGTGGCGCAATCTAGTGTACGCAATCGCAAGCCTCGCCGCTGTTTCTCGTAGACGCGCAGTACGAGGAACGAGGACGGCGCTATATCGCCGGCGAGAAATCGGCGGTACAGGCGGTGGGAAACGAACAAGAGAAAGAAGATCCGCGCGTCGGCCAAAGAGAAGGACCGGCGAAGCGAGCGGGCGGACGAACGGACAGACGGACGCACGGACGGACGGACGGACGGACCGACGGGGACGGAGGCGCGCGGAGGGTTGCTGGCGAAGGGTTGACGCGGGGGTTGCTGGTGTGCGAGATACGACTCGCGCGCCGAGCGAGGGACAGAGAGAAAAGTGCCGCGAGAGCAGGACCGCCCCTTGGCGCTGGTTCTACGCGGGAACCCGACCGCCTGGAGCGGTAAAATTGAAGATTTATGCGAGACGCCGTTTACGTCGATTAACGCTACGCCGTGCTGCCCACCCCCGTGCCCGCCCGTAACTTATTTAAGGACCACGGAATCACGCGTTTTTCCGCGGAGATCCGGGTTCGCGCGTTAAGCGCGATCGCTGCACGCTCGAACGAGGACGCCGAACTAGGTTGATCTCGGTATGTTCGATCGTCTGATCGACCGACGCGATACAGGGTCTGTTCTTTTTAGAGTTTAGAGTTTATCTTTCTTCTTCCAGTATAAGAAAAAGAAAGATAAACTGTGAACTAGTACAATCAGTTCAGCCAAATAGAACAGGTCTACAATATACGAATCATTCATTCGAGGGAATTAGTCGTGGGAGCCTTCAAGTTTCCGTTTCGAATCGCGCTTTCGACATTAAACGCATAGCTATACAACGACGACATATGTACTCATTTAATACAAAGAATAATACCTTTGAACGCGAATCTGAGACAAGAACTCACTCACTTATGTTATTTAATGCAAATTGCATGGAAGAATAAGGTGAGAAGAGCGGAGCTTCATACCGGAAAAAAGATATTCAATCGTAACGTCTTACCCGGGGTGACGATAACTTCGTCAGCGCTCCTGAACGAGTCTCGAAGAAGACGTCTCGAAGAAGACGTCTCGAAGAAGACGATAGTAACGGGAAAATCGGCGGTGCGACGAGGAAGATCCTGATGATCGTGTAAGCTCGCGACGGAATTGCCGTTGGTGGACGTACAGGCGCGGGGCGACGGGCAGGATCGGCGGGGGTGAGTCGCGTTCGAAAGAGAGAGACGGGGCGCACCATCCCTCTTTTTCCGCGGCCCGAGCGCGACGAGGAACGATACGAGCGCCGCCGAACTCGTTCGAGACGCGCCGGACAGCGATCCGTAGGAGGAAGACGGAGCTTGCGGAGGCTACGGAGAAGAGAGAAAAGCTCTGCGCGCCGGAGGGGGGTAGCACAGACGGAAGTGGAGGAGATGGCGAAGGGAGCGAGAGGAAGAAAGAGAGAGAACGCCCCCCCCCCCTCTCCCCTCCGCTGGAAGCTGACCACCGACCCTCTGCGAAGGTATACGAGAAGAAAGAGAGAGACAGACGCGCGCGGCGAGGACAGGTGCGAGAGAGCGACCGCGCTTTATCACACCGACGACTCGCCGCGTACGTGTGAGCCATGCGGATACCACGAGGTGTAACATCGGTATTTCCAAAGCGAGATGGTGTGCGTCTGGTCTATGCGTATGTATGCGGTGAGATAGCCCGAACGCGCGCTCACCTTCGATCCGAGAATTTAAAAGTCGACACTCAAAATCTGGAGAAGGAAGTTTTGCGATTTCCTCGAAATCTTACTTCTCTCGTCTCTCGAAACGGAATTCGAAAGACCGAGGTCGGAGAGATTGGAAGATCCTTCTTAAAGGAGCAAGCTCAATAGCTCCGCGTCCCTCGCGCGGGATTGTCCGAGAAACGCTCGATGTTACACCGATCCCGTATTTTGTTCCCTTTTTTTTTTTTTTTTTTTCCTTCCTCTCTTGGTCGCAACGCGCAACTTACGAAACATCGCGAGACTCTCGTGTAATTAAGCGTGAATAAACAAGCGAGCGGACCTATAATTTAGTCGGTCAGAACGGAAGCGGTGCGAGCGAGACGGTGAGCGTGTGCTCGGTCATGCGCGATCGCCGGCAAAAGAGAGGCTCTGCTACCCTTTCGATACGCGAAACGAGGACAACGCGCAACCTCGCCGCTTGTATCGCGCGCGATGAGGCGCCCCCGTGCTTGTGGTGGTGGTGAAGCGCCGGCGGCGGGGTTGTAGTAGTGCCTCGAAGAAAAATCGCCGTGAGTCTGTAGACGTCTGTACGTGCGTACTAAGGGGTTGAGGACGGCATGTGGTAGTTGAAAGGGTTGCTGGACAGTGGCGAGCTCCTGCTTAGGTGGCCAGCGGAGGAACTAACGAGAAAAGGGGTTGGAAACTGCCACCTTTGCTCTAATGATCGCGCTTTATATATGCTCTGGTCCTTTCACAGCCGATACATCAGCTTGATAGATATCGCTCAAAGATGTGATGCGTTTGATTACTTTTGAAGAATTTTATACATGATTTTATACATTTTTTAATTTAAGACAGAATAGAAGACACATGGAAGAACATCAACATTATCATATCAAAGCAATCGTATTTACGCAATCATTATGTTACGCTAAAATCTAATTATTCACTCAACATAATTATTACGCGAAACAACGTAAATAATGGAAAGTTTAGAATAATATCACTAATTAAGAGCCGAAAGCTTTTTCTTGTATTTTCGAATTATAAAGAGTAATTCGTATGAATTTTCTGTTTGAACTCTTTATCGTACGTTGCGATGCATATCAAATATTAAAATTAACGTCAAAAATGAAAAGCTTATGAAAACGCGAGAGAAGCGTAACGTTCTTGTGACAATGTTTGATTTTATTTTATTCACCGCACACGGCAATTATTTAAACTAAATTTATAAACTACAAATGACAATTTTTCTCAAAGATTCGATCTTTCGATTAAAATCGATTCTCTAATAACAGAGGCAATACTTTTATCTCGATAACAGGATATAACACAAACAAATTGGTTAAACTACAAAACTACGTATGCTTGATTCTGACCTGCGTCTCAATGTTATACCACTTTTTACACACTTCCTCCTCCACCCCCGTTTTAACTTCAACCTCGAAAAGCCCACTTACCCAATCATACCCCAATCTACCGCTGGCTCAGCGGCGGCGTGCAAAACTCTCGATCAACCGCCAGTATTTTTATCCTCGCAGTTTTTAAGGTCACTTGTTGCTTCTTACTATGCTAGTGCCGCGGGAAGAAACTCGCCCTCTTTACGAAGACCACGCTCTTTTTCTCGCGGCGCACCGTTAATAATTACAGCAGCGCGGGTAGAAAAGTAAAAATTTTACCTCACGAGAATCTCGAAAGTGAATCAAATTAATAAATAATACGAAAATAAGAACACAATTAAAGCTATTTAGTAGATACAGATTTCTTCATGAGCTAATTTCATTAATTTATTGCTGTAACAAAATATCTTTTGCGTTAACAAAATATTTCAAAATTGCCATTGCGTTTATCGATAAATCAATTTTGGAGTTCTTTATTCCTTTTATTCCGTCAATAGCGTTTTCTCTAATGCTGTAAAATTATTTGTTGCATCGCTAATACGCTTTACACATCAATTAGAACAACAACGAATCTCTATCGGGAAAGGTCGAAACGCGTTAGCAGACTTTTCCACATGCAGCATTTAGCGCGTATTAACGAGGAAATCGAGCTGGGCAGCGCACGCTCGTTAACCCTCTGTAATAATCGCGTCTGTATTTGACAAAAGAAGAGAACAAGTAGAAAATGGACCGATTATAATCAGGAAATGCAACAATCGCATCCATTTTTAATCGACGAAATCTCCTTCCGCGATACATCTCTCCTCTACCTTCTTTTTCTCTTCTCGTTTGTTTTTCTTAATGCAATCGCAATGTTTGCATTCCGGTCGCGCGCAATTGCTCGAGCTTTCTTGGCGCGGCGATACGCATCCCTCACCCAGTTTCACCCCTTCGTGCCTTCGTTGCAGCTGCGCACGATATCCGATCAGTGTGGCCAGTATTTTTATTCGTAGATTTTAAGGTCACTTGTTGCTTGTTTAGTTATGTCGGCGTACACACGCGCCGTCAACACACCGGCGCATGGATCGGCTGGAGCGCGCGCGCGCGCGG